AGAAATTGTCTTTAAATCCCGATCGTTTGGAAAAATTCAAAGAAAAAGATAAATCCCGGAAGAGAGAATACCGACTGAAACTAAAGAAAATGATGGAGACGGACCCTGAGTTGCACTTAAAAAAAAAGAAAAAGAAAAGAAAACTTCGTGAGAAGAAAAAAAATATGGCAATCGACTTTCATACAGCGTATAGGAGTAAGCAGTCCTTGGGAAAGGCAGTAAAGAAAATGGAAAAATCGTTGCCAAACGACATGGAAAAGAAGAAGGCTGTTTTAGAAGCGGTAGGGAAAAAGTATTTAAGTTGCAACAGGATTGAAGATCGAGCTCAGACGTCTGCTGATTTTCAGAAATTTTCAATGCTTAGAGACTTTTACCTGAAAGACGACATTAGTGTTCAAGCTGCGGGCAGAAAGCATACCTTAAACCTTAATGGGAAATTTGTCGCAAAACGTTTCATGATTTTGACCGTGTCGGAAGCATACGAAATTTATAAAAAAGAATCGAAGTCCCCAGATTTAGTGAGTAAATCAACATTTTTCCAGCACAGACCACCGGAAGTTCAACTAATATCAAAGCTGCCTCATAATATGTGCGTGTGTATGTATCATGCTAACATTGGATTTTTGTTGGAGGGATGTACTAAAGTTATACCTTCCTTCCCTCGTGTCTTTGAATCGTTACTGGAATCTATTTGCTGTAACATAAAGAATGAAGAATGCATGCTCAACAAATGCCTGAGATGTGTAAAAGATATTGTCGAGGAACTTATTCCGATTAGCTATCTCAAAAAAATAGATGAAGATATAGTGTGGAAAAAGTGGCGTAAAGTAGACGACAGGTTAGCATTAACAATGACAACTGCTCCTTTTTCGGTTCTGTTGGATGAGTTTCAAGCGCTTCTACCTCAGTTTAAAACCCACTTTTATATAAAACGATCTCAGCAAAGCTATTTTGAGGCTAAGAAAGCGAATATAGATTCAAGGGAAGTAGTCATTTAAATTGATTTTGCCGAAAATTACAGGCTGATCTCTCAAAACGAAGTCCAAAGCGCACATTTTAACTATAAACAGGTTACGATATTTACTTGCGTAGCTTGGCTTTGCGACAAAACTTTATCATTTGGAATAATTAGTGAAAATTTAAGCCACAATAAATTTTACGTTGTCTGCTTCTTAAGCAAACTTTTAAAAGTGATCAAGGAGAAAGCCGGCACATTCGAAAATATATTTATATTTTCTGATGGAAGCAGCTCGCAATTTAAAAATAAATTTATAGTCCGTAGTTTGGTAGATTTTGTTTACTATTTTGGATGCGTCAAAATTGAATGGAACTATTTTGCCACGTCCCATGGAAAAGGAGCAGTGGATGGCGTAGGAGCAGTCATTAAAAGAAAAGTTTGGCAAGTAACTAAGTCCCAAAATAAAATATTATCAAGTCCCTTTGAATTTTTTCAATGCGCTCAGGAAAATTTACACGGAATAAACCTTATCTACATTGGCGCCAAGGAAGTGGAGGAATTTTCACTACCACTACAAGAAAAATGGAAAAATGTTGCACAGATTCCAGGAATAAGAAAAATACACTATGCATCCAGTAACAGAGAATTAGACATTTTTGTGGGTGTCACAGCCTTTTCAACAAAAAACAAAATTTAATATAATATACTAAACGTGCAACATAATTCGTAAATAAACTTATTATTTAAAGATAGGTATATATTCTTTAGCAGGTGTATTTTGATTAAATTTCTGCGTTTACTAGAAAAATTTAATTTAATTCTAACCACTTAGTCACATAGCTTTCATAGAACGAGCTATATAAAAACTATGTTTCAATTAAAAAGAGGTGGATAACGCTAAAATATTTTAACCAAACTTTAAAGTAGGGACTTTAGTAACACGTAAAATAGCTCTGCAACATTTTGACAAAATAAAAAGTTGCAATATTTTGTTAAGTAGCAACATGTCGCGTCCGTAATTGTCGCGTCCGTATTCTTGCACTAGTTTTAGAAAAAAAACCGCTGAATGTTTTGCCACCGAACTTGCTTTGATGTGCGTGGTTACTCAGCAGGTATACTGGAAAAAAAATTCAAAAAAATTCGCCCTCTAGTTTCGCAGAATTTATGGTTTTTCGAAAGTTTTCAAAATTGCAGTTCTATTTTTGTCGCGTCCGTATTTCACTTATTTAATTTTATTTCTAAGAACTGGCTGGACAGATAATCTTAATTTTTTTAGCATAAATACAAGAGCGTCTAAGCTATCCAACAAAAAATTAAAAAGTAATAAATGTACACTGCGTCACTCTTATTTTTAGAGTTTAAGTTGAAAAAATGTCGCGTCCGTCACCCTGGAAATGCCCATATAGGAGTCTTTTGTTCTACGACTTTTGGAAAAAGCCGCTACTTTAGCGGGAAAAAGCTAAAAATAGCTAAATTTCGTTAGTTTGTAAGTTCTACACTACTAAAGGTACAGACATGTGCTATACCTCGATTAAAAGGTATTTTGATTGATGAATTTATATTTAAATGTATATATTAGCTCCTATGAGAGCAAATGTAAACAAACAAAAACTTCTGATATCAAATAAAAACACCTCTTAACGAGGTAAAAAACTAGTGACGACCGCACCTTCAACATACAAAAGTTCTGATATCAACATTTGTGACGAAAAATTATTACACTTGTCATTAAATAGACTTTCTAATATTTTCTCATTCGGCACGCTGCAATAGAAAATGCCTGTAAAGGGAAAAAGGCTGGAATAGTTTGCTAGGGCGGGCCGAATGAGAAAATATTAGAAAGTCTATTTAATGACAAGTGTAATAATTTTTCGTCACAAATGTTGATATCAGAACTTTTGTATGTTGAAGGTGCGGTCGTCACTAGTTTTTTACCTCGTTAAGAGGTGTTTTTATTTGATTAACCATACTTGATTGCAAGATTCTCAGAGAACAAAGAACCTAGTTGCCATGATTATTCACCGAAACAAAGGCAAACATTTAATTGCCTGACAGAATGCAGTTTTCACAGTTTCGTCATAGAAGGTCAAAATCGACTAAAACAACACGAACCAACCAACTGTGGAGCTCTCTTTTCTGGGTCAGTTCGAAACATATTCTCACATACAGTCGGCATTAACCGGGCGTTCCAGCTCAGTTGCATAACCAAATTGGAGAAAGAAAATTTGCGTTGACTAATGGCTGGCGAACGCATTTTCCCAGTCGGTCTAGCCTTTTCCGGACTCAACCCAAAACGGGTTTGAAGCCGGGTTCGTTGTCACTTGATCGTCGAAGCCCAATGCAACCAGTTTATGCAACATTGAGCCGGTCGCCGCAAAGTCCATTGACTTCCAGCGATTTTTCCAACCTCAAATCGCGGTCCTCGAAAAGTTCATATAATACATTTATTGGTATATACAAATAATAATGGTTAAAGTTTGTTTTATTATTAGATATTGGGGTAATTGGTTTCGTGACTCAATGCACAAAATGCATTTAATATCAGCCATGCGAGATATGTGTATTAATTTTCAAAAGGTAAATTGTACCCTGTTTTACGTATAATTTAATTTTTTTGTTTGTTATACTCTAGCTTTTAGAATTTCCTATTAAAGACCCAGTATTAAAAATCTACAAGTCATATAAGTAATTAAATTTACCTAAGTACAAATGTATCTTCTTGGGGATCTAAAATTATCTCAAATTATAATGAATTGTTATTTTGTTACTATCCCAAGTCCCGCACCCAACTATTTGTATTTCTGATAAATCTAATCTATTTGGGCCAATTACTTAGCAGTTTTGGATGCTTATCAATGCTTATCAATGCTCTTCCTTTTTTATTTGATTTAATGAAGAATTTTTTAAGAGTTTTAAACTTTTTTTTTGTATTATGAAAGTCAAACTTTTAAGTGTGAAATAAACAAAAACGAGCAAACAAAAAATTTGACGAGAGCACGATTTTCAATTGAAATCATGCATTTAATCTCTGTGTTTGTGCTCAACCAAAAGCGAAAGCGAATAATTAACACGAAAGTGCAAACCAACCAATTCGAATAAGTAAAATCTAATGCACAATTCAGCTGCCAAATGAAAATGGAAGTGCTAAGTGAAAACAAAGGCGGAAAATGAAAAAAAGGCATAGGTTAGCCAAGGTTAGAAAATAGGGAAATGGATTGCATGAAAAAGAAAACTCAATGGGAATTAAAACTTTGGATTAGGTGCAGAAATACAAATCCAATAAGAAAAGTTGTCACATTGATAAGAGGGTTTATCAGTCTGATAAGATTTGTGTACATATATAGAAGAGAGAGTAAGCGAGAGATAAGCGACCGCTGTTGAACTTTGAACTGTGGTGAAACCGCTTTCAAAATTACTGGCATCTTTCGCCCGGCCTTTGTGCCTTTTGCATTTTAATTATTAACGAAAAGTACAGGCTCATAGCAATCGTTGCCGTAATTGTCTTGTTTTTTGTTTATTTTATTTTGAACAATGTTTCTCCCTTCTCTTTGTGTTTTTTTCTTATTTTCCTGCCGGCACACACACATACGCTCGCTCGCTCTCGCACACCAACACACTCACCGTCTGCGAGTTTTTGTAGTCAATTAACTGATTCGAAGCCGCATCGCGTTCAGCCATTTTGCTTGAAATTTTTGATATTTTCGCTGAATGGGATAACCAGAATTTTGAAATGTTCGAACTGAACAAACGTTGACTTTGAGTTTGCTGTGACTGCGTAGAGAATTCTGTCAAATAAAGCAACTGCAGCGCAGTTCCATTTGTTTTTATAGCCCCGCACCACGTACTTGTTGTTGCCCAGGGTTGTCGAGTGCTTGGAGAAGTATCGATAAATCTGGCGTGTCAATTAATATCGCTTTTGATACGTAACATTTACTATTAAAAACTGTTAAAAATTAATTAAAAAATGGCAAGTTGGTTTTTGTTTTAATGTACATCAAGTATATAAAAAATCAAAGAATTTATAAAAAAACTATCCTTAAAATATTTGGTTTGGTCAACTTATTACGTATACATATTTATTTAAGACATGGGAAACAAAGTACAATTATTCGATAATTTCAGTGTTTACGTCGAGTCAGTCAGGCATATTCCAACACACAAACATTTAACATATAAACTAAGAATTGGGCTAACCTCCAGTGGTGCCCGCCAGGTAGATATCCATTGACTCCTTGTTCAGGTGCAGCGTCGGTCGTCTCCTCGGGATGGGCTGGATATGTGGCAATCTGGTTCCATTTACGGCGTTCAAGCTGAGATTGGAGTTGGGATCGTAGTCATCGCTGGATGTCGAGGGAGAGGAACGCGGCCTTTGCGGCGGTGGAGCCAAATTATCGTCCCTTTCCCCCGAGCGTCGTCTTTTCTTGGCCGCCGCCGCACTGGTAGTGGGTCTGCCGTCGGAGGAATGACTAGAGTTGTGGTCGTATCTACCACTCGTACTGGAGACATCCGCTATGGAGCTCAGATTGGAGGACAGCAGGAGCCTTCCCTGCGGCACCGGCATTATGGCGCTGGGATCTGAAGAGGAATCAGCCGGCTGACTGCTGCTCACATCCGAAACGCTATCGGCCATCTTCTTGGCCAAGTGCCGCTTGGCATTGTTTACCTTCCGCATGTAGAGGTCAAATAGGTGGCCGTAGCACTCCTTGCAGACCAGGGATTCGTGGTCGATGTTTTCATTGAGCAGCTTGGCGAAGGAACGCAACGTCTCGTTGCCGATGGTTCGGCATGGGGTCCTCAGTCTGTGGCTGCCGAGGGCGCAAAATCGGCGCTCTGGCTGTGGTTCCTCCGCATCGGGCGCCATCTGCAATTGATTACGCCCATTATTAGCTTTCCTTGGGTTTAATTCCCCTACTCACCTTGCTATTTTTTGATTCTAAACGACGCCAAGAGATAAAACAAAAAGGAAAACACAAAATTTTCCCGCCTTTACAATTTCCATTGCAATTAATGTTACCGCAGCTTGATGGTTTGGTGCTGTTTGATGGTCTCACTAAAAATACCAGATAAATGTACGCAGGGTTAGCCGAGACGCGAACCGTACACTGCGTACATTTTTGGTGTGACCATATTCCCTAAAGTATAAAAAGGGGGAAAAACATCGATGTTTCTGCACCTCTAATTCATACTAATTCATTGTTCATAACGAGTTGGCAGCACTATTGGATGTCTTCTTCTTCTGTTCGTATGTTCGTCGTCTCGCCTGATTTTCTTTTTATAAAATACAACTAAAATTTTAAACATATACACATGTTTATAAATATAATGTAGTGCAACACATATATGTATAATATAGCTAAATACCAAGTGCAATCCCCCGAAAGATAACTTCAAATGGCAATCTAATTTACGTAAAGAAAGAGACATAAAAAAAGAAACGGCGCGTGTGAAATTTTTTCAAGCAAAGGAGAGAAGTTGGAGCAACAAAAAAAGAAGAGAGAAAAAACACAACAACAACAGCACACAAAGTAGGCCAACAACAACAGCAAGAAAAAAGCAAGCAAGCGGCAACAACAACAACAACGGCGAGCGAAAGAAGCAAAAACCTTGTAATTGTGTCAATAAATGTTTTAAATTATATTTCCTTTGGGAAAAGGCCAGTGTCTGTGTGTGCGCCTGGCGCTGTGTGTGTGCGAGACAAGTGAAATTTTCTTTGTTTCCCTGCGGGGGAGGAAAAAAGAGTCAAGAAATGAAGTTGCCTTGAAACAACAAAAAACGCTGCCCCAAAAAAATTATATATGTACATACGGCTGTGTGAGTGTCTGACTCGTTGTCTGCTTGTGTTTGTACGCCTGTGTGTGTGTGTGTGGCAATGAACGTTGAGCAACAACAATAATTTTATTTATTTGGAATTTTTGCTGCGCTGTTTGCTTGCTTTTATCTTTATAAATATCTACCCAAAAGTAAATAAATTATGAAATAAAAGTCTCAAGTGGATTTTTAGCAGTGAAAATGTGTAGCCGAAAAACGAAAAGCAACAAAAACAGCGGCTTTAAGGCTGCTGGACAGGTTTCCCACGGCTAAAAAAAAGATGTAAAATACAAATATAAGGAGCAACACGACAGCGACAAAGAAGAAGAAGCAGCAGCAATGCGTGAAACGCGAAAGCAAAGTGAAATTCAAGACAGCAACAACAACAAACACAAGAGCGTAGCGGCTAACAGAAACCGTTATTCAACAATTTCTTGAATAAAAAAAACAACAGCAACAACAAAAAGCATACAAGTGAAAGAAGGCACAAAATACTGGTTTACACAAAATAAAAAAAAGATAAAGCAAAAGAAAGAAAGCAAAGAGAGAAAAAGTTGCTGCACGAGAAATTTTGTACGTGTATCGTCTCCCCATTTCTATCTCTGCATGTGTGTGTGTGAAGTAAAGTGAAAAGCAATGCTGCAAGGAATTACAACAACAGTCGGTTTACAATAAATATATAACCGTAAACGGGATTAAGGGCCACAACAAAGAGGAGAAACTAAAGCGAAATATTGAAATATCTCAAGGTGAGTAAAAAAACGGATATTTCGATGGGTTTTTCTCAAAAGTGCGTGCTTTAATTAAGCTGTTGCTATGTCTTATGCTCGTAAGTGTTGGCATAACCAAAAAAAAAGCGTTAAAATGAGAGACAGAGATAGCAGTAGCATGTTGCTTCACTTTTTTGGGAGCATGCGAAATGTCTACAGGTGGCTTATTTACAGTTACTTTCTTGATAACAGCTGCTCGGTCTTCTCTTCTTTCATTTCTTCATTTTCCCTGCACAAAGCTCTTCTTTAAAGCTTCTCACGCTCGTCAAAGAATTTCGGCGTTTGTAGGTCTAATCGCCATCTAATTAACGGTAAAAGCTACTGCTCAATGAACGCGATTATGTGAGATTTTAGAATGGAATTCTAATATTTGTTCTCTTGAAGAACTTACATACAAACATATCTTAAATAAAGTGTGAACAAAGCGGAATCGGCTCAGATTGTTTCATAAAGTTTACATCAATTATATGTAGTTTGTTAAAAAACAAATACATTTTTAGAAACAAGATCAAAATAAAAGTTTTTCTAAAAATAACAGTTAATTGGTAAAATAAAATTTAAAGTTATGCGGGTTTACCATAATTTCTCCACAACTGTAGAGCTCAAGTTATAGGATTGATGTAACCCCGTTGTGGATGTCCAAGTTATGAAAGTTAAATTTCAAGTTATTATTTTTTCAATAATGTTCTTTTTCTAAATAGTTAAAAGATAATTGTTTCTTGAATTATTAACATGAATAACTGGTTGTCATGAATACACGACACGTGTACGTTTTATCATTGGGATGTTTAATGACCTTAACATTCTACGGAATTTTATATTTAGAAACTCAGATGCATCGTGCATTCCCAATGCCTATGTTTGCATAGCTTGATCAAATAGTTGGAATAGCCTCAGTTTTATGGATTTACTGGCCGCTTCAAGTCACGTTTCTCTGCTCTAGTTTGTTATCAGCTTGTAAACCGATACTAGAGCAAATATATATGTTTTATTTATTTTTCTCTTGGAAATAGTCGAACTGATTCATTAATTACCCAAAGCAAACGTGGAAAAATAAGAAAGCTAAACAAACATTTACATTCGCAGTCGCATTACATAATTGTGTTTTGTAAATTATAATAAAATATAATGTTATTTATCATTTTATCAACATACTAACTTATAAGCTAAAAATTGGTTGAATCTATTAGCTTAATAACTTATTAAGGAAGTATTGATTTAATTTTAACACTCGACATTATTTAAAACATTTTTTTCCTTTTCATTTCAACCTTGTATTTATTATTATCGTTCCAAAAGTCTTTTACCTCGATTTTCGTTTGTGGGTAGATAGTACAAAGTAATATTTATCATGTTACGATGGTATGCTCATGGGTTTCCTCATTTTTTGGCTAATCTGAAACGAAATAGGTCGACAACGTTTACTGAAAATGATAACGAACCAAAAACAATAAAAGTGCTTACAATGTTTGACCGACCATTATTCGATTTGTTGATAAATGGTTTCAAATGGAAATAGAAAACCGAGAATCGAGCGACTTAAACTGTTTGCTCTGTACAGCTGTGCGCGATTCGTTAAGGTTTATAATTAGTTGTAGTCAATCTGACCCGCCCCTTATTCCCGCCCCCTGTTTGCCCCTCTATACTTTACCTATCTACGCCTATTGTACGCTTAAACGGTTTCTGTTTTATGTGCTGTTCTTTTCCCTCGTTGCTGCTTTTTGCTAAAAGCAAAAAGCGTTTAACCGGTTTGTTTCGAAACAAACAGAGAAAACCGAAAACAGAACAAGCCAAGATTATAGTGTGTGTGTGTGTAAGTTGGCTCTGATGAATAACGTTAACTTTGAAGAAATATCTGTTGGCTTTTTTGTATCTCGTGTGGAAGTTGACTGGATCGGATGGGAATGGTTATGAGCGGATGGCACTTGCGAGAAAAATGTTGCCACCTTCGTTGCTGAGTAAACAACGTTCTCTTGTAATAATACTTTATTAATCGAGTCTATAAACGTAATGTAATGTATGTAATTTTTCGACTATGTATCAAAAAAGAGTTTTTAATGTTCCTCTCAAGTACTTAAGTACTTAAAAGAAGAGAACAAAAGTCAACTATCTTGGTACTTTCGACCTTATCTCTCTGATAGCCTATCAAGTAATTTCATTATTGCATGAAATTAAAAACTTAAGAAGGTATAAAATTTCTGCCAACTCGCCTTTTCGGATTATATTACAATTACTTGTCAATAAATTTAAAAATACAATTATATATTTGCTATAAATAGAAATAATGTGAATGAATTCCTTGTGCATAAAAAAGTCAAGCAAGTTTAAAACGTGTTTTGAATATAAATCAGCTTCAGTCACGCAGCCTTCGTCAATAAAATTCACCAAGACTCTGGATATTTTATGGTTAGCTTCATCGGCTTAACGAAATTTACTGAGATAAGAACTTTTTCGCCTTTAAACTCCCATCATTTTGAACTTTGGTCTGAAAACTTTGTGGGAGCTATGGAAGTGCTCATAAATTCAAGTTGAAACCCCTTCTATTTGCTGCTTCATTTCACCTATCACATGGCTACACCTCCCCCTCAGAAATGTTTTTCCACACAGTTTCCCTTCGCTTTTTTGTGTACTTTTTTTTTTAAGCAACTATAAATTTACTTTGTGTGCCCTTTTTGCCAGCTTTTGTTTACTTGGTTTATTTTTAGTGAGCGTGTAGATACACACACACACATATCTAACAATTTACCAACTCATTTGCTGACTAGACAAAATTGGAAAATAAATAGAAAAATATACTAAAACTTCCCCCATTTCGCTGTCATATTCAGATTTTACGTTTGCAATATCATTTCACAAACAATTGTGTGACTCAACGGGAAAATATTTTTATTCACTTTTTGGGTTCTCCAACTTGTCCACTTTCTGTTAAAGTCTCAAATTGCCTGTCAAACTTGTTGTTCCCATTTTGTTGGGATTACATTGTGTTCTGTACAATTTGACACCTGTTGAAGTGTGAAATGAATTTTGAAATTACAAAACTCGGTTTACAAAGTTGAATGAATGAGATATGAAAACAAACAATAATTAAAGGTAAACGAACCCTTTTAATGAAGTATTTAAATTGGAATTATTAAAATAAATAAATATAATAAATATAATAAATATAATAAATTTAAACAAGTTTATGAATGCTTATTTATTCAATATATTTCTTTTTATTACCTTTTAACAAACATTATGCATAAAATAAATTAAATACTTTAAATATTAACTTGGATTAATGAAAATCAATCAGGCTTATTTACCAACGCTGCATTTTATGTTTAAAGATTTCAATGGAATGCCTCAAAAATATATTCCTTTAAGACTGCATAAATCGAATTTTGAATTATAGTTAGTTAAGGAGACTTTTTTAAAAGCGTGTTTCCTAATAAGTTCATTGTACTTTTAAGCATCGCTCCAAAAAATTACCAAAGAACCTTAAAGATATTGTCATAATTTGTCAAAATATTAATTTTGAAAATCTGAACTGATTTCCTGAGCCAAATCCGTTTGTGTGTCACTCAAAACCCATCCATTGCCTCTGATATCATTTAATTTTTCTTCACCGCTTGTTGCCTTTCCCATGCAATTTCATAATTTTCCTGATTAGTTTGTTAAGTAGAAAGCAGAACGGAACTGAAGTAACACTAATGACAATAATCAGAACACATGCGAGTGAGCTATGCAATGCAAATGGAATTTGTGTCACTCGTTTAGCGTGATCTAATTTCATATAATGGCGTTTGTTACCTTATAAATTGAATCGAATTGGAATGAGAAAATTGGAACGGTACTAGGTGTGAAATTTGGGTTAAATTATACGTTTTATTTGAATAAATATGTGCAATTTAATGCTGAATTATAGGTACATTTTTGTGTTTCGCGGTCATTAAAGTCACAGGGCTTTTCATATTTTAAAAGTTCATAGAAAATTACCTTTTTTATTTTTCAGATACTCGAGACGATTTTTAGCCAACATATTCCAAGGTCTTAGACTTAAACTTTTTAACGATTATTTTACGTTCTTCTAAGCAAAAATGCTTCGTTATTTTAATAAAAATTTTAATTATAACAACCACTCTAATATTGATGACTCAAAAATATTTTTAGTCGTAATTTATTAGTCAGAAATGTTTATATGTACGTAGCCATTCTTAGATGTAGATCTGAGTGCAAGCGGAGAATGACTATGTGCATATTTAAAATTTATTTTGAGTCACATTTTTATGATATGTATCATATGTACTTATAATTAGGCCCATTTTCTCATTCGCATGTACAATTCAAAGTAGGGTTTTAAAATAGTTTAAAATGATACAAGTTTCCCCAAATTTTAGTTCAAAATATATATTTTAATAATATATTTTAAATTATTTTTAAATTGTATTTTTTTTAAGATATGGGGCAAGTTTAGAAACCATTTTTAATTTTTATTTAAGTATATTTGTATTGTGTTCGGAAAGTTTCTTCTTTTTTGATCTTTCCACCAAGCATATCTTAAAAATTTTAAAGTTTCTCTAACCCATTACCTCTATATCTTAATTTCCCTTGTCGGTTTCGCTTTTCCGCTTCCTCTTGTACATAGGTATTTCACAAACTCATAATTTCAAACAATTAAATCATTGTATGACAAATTGACTTCAAAAAGCAATGAAAAAGTGCCAGCAACAATAAAACAATTACAGAGACGATGAAAAAAAACATGTACATACATATATACGTTTACTACAACAAAATGAAACGAAACTTGCGGCAATGAAAACGTAACAACAATTGCAAATAAAATGCTAATAAATTGAAATGAAATTAACAAAAACAACAAGGGAAGCACGACAACTGCTGGATGTTGTTGTTGTTATTCTTCTTCTTTTTCTTATTTGTTGTTGTTCAATGAGAAAGAGAGAGCGCGAAAAAAAAACGTGTGCACATTAGAAAGA